GCACCGATTCATATGAAACAACTACCATTCGATTCCTTGCGACTAGACGAATCCAATGAGCTATCATTCATTGAATTTGGATCATTCCATCTCGAGATATTTGCGATTGTATTTCGAAATCCATACTCCTTTATTTAAAGTAGAATTTATTGATTTATAATTTTGGCTGATAATACAATTGCGAGTATCTCGTGATGTGATAATCCAAAATCAATGAATATTAGCTCATTGGATTCGTCTTGTCGCGAGGAATCGAATGGTAGTTGTTTCATACGAATCGGTGCGATATTGACCGAGATCGTATATCTTTTGTTTTTTGTTTTTTCTAAATATAAAAAATCATATGATATGACGTCATTTCGACTATTTCACGACTTTAGCCTCCAATGGTCGAAATGATTTTGACCATTTTGACCATTTCGTATATCTGAAATGATCCATTTCAACTTCATGTATAATCATAGCCTCTGATAAATTCTTTGCTCTATATGCCACAACCACAAATACTCCCCTAATTTGCGTAAATATCTAGAAAGTAGTGGTTTGCCAGTTTCAGAAAGGAATCTATCATTTTTCAGGAATGTATTGAACCATTTAACTCCTAATACTCCTGGATCTCTTAACTGTCCAGTAGAAATTGCTTCCTGAATCCATATAAGCAATTGCTTTACCCATTTCTCATTCTTCTCTAGTGATCTAAATACCCGAGAAATATCTTGTTATCCCAGTTTTTTGCATATCCAGTTACACTTCCATTAAATATACACAAGATTTTTATTTTAGTAGGACGGATGCAGAGCATTATCATTACATCGGCTAGAGCTTGAATGTTGGGTGTATAAGATATATCATATGAATCTAATCTCTTCTTGACTGATTTTAGCGAGAAGTGATTGTGAAAATCAATCCCTTTATTTTCACGTTGCTCACTACGCTCTTTTTGAATTTTATTAGTTGAACAGATTATCTCTGGTATCAATATAGCTGAGATAATTTTTTCTGAGACCCTGAGGTTTCGCATCTTTCTTTGAAGCCTAGAGATTTGGGATGAACCAGCACTATCATTAGAGGCAGATTCAGCTAAGGCTTTTGCTATAAATTCTACATCTTTTTTGCTAAGATTATCCTGGGCAATTCGCTGAGCTATCCTTTCGACAGTTTCTCCTTCTGAAATAAGATCAGATATTTGGCATAGATTCACTTTCCCCACTTCTAACCCTCCTATTTAAGAAGATACTTGACTTCTACTTTGACAAATTCTTTGATCAGGAACTAGTATAAATGCCTGCTCTTTGCTAAAACTATACCCTTTTTGGAAGCGCTGTTGACCCTTATCTCTTTTTAGTTTATCTGTCAAAAGCTTGAGTAATGCTAAGGTGTACTGACTAAGTTCTTCATCACTTATATCTTTACTGAATTTGTGCTCTACAATGTACTTTGTTACAATCACAGACATGATAATGTGAATATATTCTATGAAGTAACTATTAGATTATGCTTAACTGTTAGGTTATACCAATGATGGGTTTTGGACTTATTTTTTAATTTTAAATATTTTGGACAAGGTTTGGACATATAAAATTATGTCTAAAACCTGTCTAAAATCTGTCTAAAATTGTCTAAAATTGTCTAATTGCCTAACACTGGATTATATTACTCAGAAAAAGTCTAATTCGAAAAAATTTCTCAGAGTTATGCTTCTTCAGAGAGGATAAATATTAGAGATAGCTCTTGAGGAGGTTAAGAAAGTGAAAAATAATGATATAACCTATACAGAATCTCTATAAGGCCACCATTCTGACTGGGATATGTTTTACATTGATTTGAAATTTGCAGGTAGATGGGATAAGTGAAAAAATAATAATAATTTGGAATTATATATCGCTTAATTGTAAAGAACAAATAGACCCTCTTACCTAAACACCATTCTCATAAACTGGATTTTTATTCACTCTTTACCAAAGCATACCATTCTCCTGGAATATGCTTACTGTTTTTTTCATTTTTTATCGGTATCAAACCAGAAAGATGTAACTCCTTCATTTTCAAGACCATGGTGGATTATTTCTTCTCCTATCAATCTTTTCCATATTTTCATATCCATATATTCTTTAGGATCTTCTTCTAACTCTTCTGCGTAACTACACATTTGAAAGTCAGTTTCCATCCTATCCCAAAATGCAATGGAATTGAGCCTGTCTTTCTCAGTGATAGTTATGAAAACATCTGGATCCTCACCAAGTTCGACTAACTTTTTACTAAGACACTCTTTGCGCTGAACCCTGGACAGAAGAATGGCAGATGATACTTGATTGATAGGCTTGAGAGAATCAGTTAGGATTTCTTTAGGGACCATCGTTTCTTTAGGAGACATATTCACAGCTTCGTTGCTAGTCTCAGATTTATCAATTACTTGTTCAGGTGGTTTGGAAGTCTCAGATGTGCCAGATATTGAGACGACTGGAGTTTTGGCTTATTCTGCCACATAGTCGAAAAGAGCTTGAGTTAATTTGTTATATTTATCTGCTTTTTTATCTTTACTGGTATTGGGTAAAGGCGTATTCTTTTCTGGAAGAGATGGGATTATTTTTGGGAGAATAATTTCTGGCACATTGAAAATAGGTATGTTTGTAGTCTCATTTTCGAGTAAGTCAGGTTGAGACGTATCAGAAAATTCTTCTATATCGCTTAGGCCAGATTCACGGAGCTTAGCTATAATCTTAGGGCGATCAAGAATATAGTGATATTCTCTTTTTCCATTATTTTGTAAACGTGTTCTATTAATACCAATTTGTGAAAACTTCTTCCCTAGAATAGTGCTAGTAAATAATTTTCTTCATTATTTTCACACCAGGCAATATATTCTTTATATAATTTATATAGTATAGCCTATCAATTTTTTCGATAGGCCATGAGGAAGTATAATTGATTATAAACCAAATAGAATTAGAAAGTTGATCTCACATTGTTTCTGTTCTCATTTTTGTATTAGGAATATTTTGTGATATCCAATCTGAAAGGTCGCATTTAAGTAAATAATTCATAAAAACACCAGATGTATTTGGATTATCTAAAATTTTTCCTAAACACTTAAAATATTCCATATTTTCTTTGCATCGAGGCGATACATCTAGACATATATAATACATTCATCACCCATTTCAATGCGAAGTGATGCATCATGGATACTTAAAACTATATACCTAGCAAAATCTTTAATTGTCTTAAGCTCAAGCCTAATGTTGCTAAATGAAATCAAGAGTTTAGACAGACGTCTAAATGGTAAAAGTAAAACTTGATTAAATTATATTAAAACCTTATTAAAAAATCTGCAAAATTTGAAAAAAGGTAAAACTATATCAAAGCTTATAAAAATGGCGAAACTATATCAAACACTTAGTAAAAATTTAGCAAAACTAAAGGTTTTACCATTTTGCCAAATCCAAAATAAGTTTAGATAAGCAACCTTTACTCGAGTCCTTTGCACTCTATTGTCACGTATGGTTCAGTTATGAGTGATTTTAAGTGATCATTGGCCTTATGCTATTCTCCAGAGACTATTCCGGTTTTATTTAAAAGGATAAGTTTTCATGCTTGTATGCAACTATTAAATCTTCCCAATACTTTCCCAAGGTCTGATATCGCAAAGAATAATTCTGGCCCTAGTACTTCCTTTTCAATAAGATATTTTTTCCAGAATATGAGGGTGAGCATAATATTAAAACTGTATCAGGTTCTTTATCAGGATATTGCATAAGATATGCAAATCAATTAAGAATATATTCTGAAAGAACTTTATTTCCATTACACCAGACATTTTCTATATGCCAGATTATCAGCTCAATAAGAGCAGAATCTATTTCAATGATAGGCATTTTAAAATCCAAGAAGAGGTTGAAAAACTTTGTATTTGATGGGAGACAACAAAGTCGATATGAGAGGAAATCAATGCCTCAATATCGAATTAAACCTTTTATGACCGCTTGATCAACTAGATTTACTAATTTTACCGCTTTTTCTCTTAGTTCAATTAAGTTAATTTCATACTTGATAATTTTGAGCTTAGATGACATCTTAAAGAAAAGACTACCATCGGAATCCTCAAGTTTTAATACCCATAATTTTGTATCAGTTTGAATATATGCTATTGTTGCTTGAATGGCTTCGTATATAGCATTGTGAGTGAATTTTTCTTTGTACCACATATGTCAATTAGATCACCCCAAACAAAGTGATCATTAGGATCTGATATTCTGGAACAGTCTAGTTTTCTAGGGCTCAGAAGCTTCTTTTCTCGATCTAAGGCAGTTTTATTAATAGTAAGGTTTTTCGAAGGATTTCATATTTCAGGTTTCTGATCCTGATTAGCACAGTGACAATAAAATCTATATATTTTATTTTTTCATATAATATAGCCATTTTCACTACTATGCTTCTGATCACATAATAGGCAGTGTGATAAGGAGTTGCGAGTTAATGAAAACAAGTCTGGAATGTTATTCAAGAGGATGTGAGTGTATACCCTTCGACATAATTATCTCTGAGTAACGTTTCCATAAAATCAAATTCTGTCTGAGTCGTTTCACCGTTAGTATCATTGCATCCTTTGGCTTCTAGTTCTGGAACAACTAAGAGAGGACTTTTTGCGATTTCTGATTTATCATTTGGCAGGTGAATAATGAAGTCAAAAATGGTTCTATCTTTTGGATGCATTGCTTTTTTCACATGAACGTGATCCTTTTTTTTCATCATACTTAGGGAAACCAAGTATTCGCAAGGAAAATGAATGTTTATTCGCAATATTATCTATAATAATATTCCCCTAAAGAGACGCTGGAAGTTTCTTACGAACAAGCTCAGTGAATACTACGATCTGAGAGATATTGTTAAGCCTCATACCGGTAGTAGAAATGTGAAATGATATTTTTTTCATATTAGTACTACTAGTAACAGTAATACTATTTTTTTCCCACTTTGGGAATATTTTAAGACAAATATCTCTAAAGGTACTATTGAGTGTATCTAGTATCTCTTTACACGTAAGCTTAGGTTTAATGCTATTATACACTTCTACTGGTAAATCAAAGTCAATAATAAGATAAAGTGGTTCATCACCATCAATAAATTCATGTAAGGAGTGTCCTTCACAATCTGAAAGTATAGCCTCTATTTCATCCTTATTGTTCGCATGAAGAAAATTTCTCGGTCTAACACTATTGTCACGAATTTTATATAGGCATTGACCTACAGTCAACGACCAAAATTATGCGAACAATTTTTTTTACCAAAATTGGGCAGATTATCATATGATCACGAGATATAAACATTACATTTTTTTATTTATTTAT